TATCAAGATACAAATGTACTGACTTGTGCATGTGCAAGAAAAGCAACCACCATTAATGATGCAGGAATTAAAGTAAATGTTACCATTGAGTGGGCCAGTGATCTGGTTGTAACAGAGAAAAAAAGTCTTGAGACTCCAGCAAATTAAATAATGCCATACAAAGGCAGCACTCTACATCTACCCACTCCAGAAGAAATGTTCAGCTGTTGGATACCAGGCTTTTGAAACACACGAGAAGGCAAGCAATTGTCCCTAAGCTAAAAGGGTACATGGTCACAATCCCTGCTGACAAACACTGCATCCTGAACAATGCCTGTTGCTCAATGGAAGGGGCTCAGAGTCACTCCTTTCATTGTCTCTGACTGGGCAAGGAAGCTCTGAGGCTGTCCTACCAGGGGCCAGGGGTTCCCTCTTTCTGTGGTTACCATTACTGTCTCCTGGCTGGGGTGTGTAGGAGTTGGCAATGGGGAGAATAGGCTCCAAGGCTGCTTCTCCCCAATGCCTCATGACTGTCACTGTTCCTAGCAGTCCACAAAGATCCCTGCTTAGCATCCCCTCGCTGGGCCTGGTGAAAGATCAATGCTCTAACTGATCCTCCAGACCGGTCTGCTGGCATATAGAAGAGTAGAAGGAACAGGGATAGCAAAATCAGGGATGCACAGAGATGTAGGGGCATGTGAGTTTGGGTATGTGCATGTGTGGCGGGGGGAGACAGTGGCAGTAATTTTGGCAGAATATGCAAGAGGGAAGAAAATGGAGCAAGAAAAATAAAATACACGTGATAAGGGAGAGGGAATGCTGTGAGACGAGACTTGGAAGGAGGGAGTGATTGGCTCATAGTTAGACTGAATGAAAACCAATAAGGACAGTGAACAAAGTGGGTGAATGGGGATTGTGGCTCATAAGAATTAATCTTATGTTCAGTCAAGCCTGACATTCTGCATGCAGGGGGAAAAACGAAATGTTGCTGACCAGTGAAACTGAATGAGAGTCTTCCCTGTTATGTATGTTCAGTACACTGTGGGTATGCTACTGATTTTATAAATTACCATTTGGGATTAAATTTGCCAGTGAAATATTCCAGAAATCAAATAAGATATTTGGTAACATTCACTGGGTATTAATTTATGATGCAGCTGATGAAGCAGAGCATGACAGTCAGAAACATACTGCAAAGGGCAGAAGATGAAAACATTCCGTTTGATGAAGGTAAAATACAATACAAAGATGCCATGATGAAACACATGGGCTTAAATTTTGATTCCACAGGGGATAAGACTTGGTCAAAGAAAGTTTACAGACAGCCATAGCTTATATGCCAGTTCCTGACTGTGATTAGCAGATATTTTTTCCTTTTAAAATATTTATTTTCATGAGCACAGGAAGGAAAATAAATGACATCTCTCTGAAATGGAAAGAACCCCCACCCACAAAAAAGGGAATATAATTGATAAATTGATGACATCTGAAGCTATTGCAAGTTCAAAGAGACCAGTGGAAATAGTAAGAAGGCTGTTATCTTCCATTTAGGTTTCCTTCAGTCTCTTGGCAACTTCAGTTTAAGAAGCTGTACAACTTGCAATTAGACACATCTACTGCTTTACTGGAAGACATTTTTTGGCCAGAAAAAGACTTGAATCCCATTTTGACACATGTGATAATGAATGCAACAGCAAGATAAACTCTCTCTCAATGCCTCTCAATGCTCCAGTGAGAGCACAGCTAGGGTAAAACTATCATTCAAAGATATCTAGACCCTGGGCAGTCTTGATCCTTTATTCACCTGTGTAGCACTATGACATCCCATCCTAGCACTTCAAATTCCCTCACCAATATGTAGGTGAATTAAAGTTCACAACATCTGTGTGGTGTAGATATATGTTATACCCACCATAAAGATAGGAAAATCTGGACAGTGTGTGACTTGCCCCAAATTTCAAAGCAACTCTGTAGTAGAGGTTGGAACAGAGCTCTGACTTCAAGTTTTAGTTCTGAACCACTAAGACCATCCTTCTTCCCCAATGTGTTTCCTTTTTATCTTTTCCTGTTACAGTATTACTGTTGTAAAGAGAAAAATAGACATCAGCATACAGTCTAGTAAGGAAAAGCAATGTAATATAAAAAATAGGCCAGAAAAGTTCCCTTTCATTTCACAGTATAATAGCCTGAGAAGCTAGTAATCTAATTACAACAGTAAATTTGATAAGAGCCTCCATGATGTACATTTGCTTTGAAAATATAAAACAAGTATAAAGGGTAAAAATTCCTAAAGTAATTATCTAAACCGACTGATGTTTTTATTTTAATAGCCTCAACAGGGGGAAGTGAACGTTTCTACAAAACTTCTTTCACTACCTTAATAAAGCAAAGAAATAATTGTTGTTACTAGCCCTGCAGTTAGATTTTCAACACCTCAGGTATTAAATGTTCATGTTTAATCATCTTTTAAAGGTATAAAGATAAAAAGAGATCCTGAGATTATTAGAAGGCACCTATCCAATCTTTTTCCAATTAAAAATAATATCCTGAAACAGTTCTGGACATATCTAATGAGGACATGAAAGCTGTTCATTATTCTGTAATTTTGTGAAAATGGCAGGGTATTTTCAGTATAAAAATAAACTTTTTTCCTTCTGTAGTATAACCCTAAAAGTAACAGAAGAGGTCTAAAAATTTCTACAAAGGGTCCAATTATAAAACACAAACTGGATAAGAAGCAACTTTTCTTAGAAACAACCAAAGTCAAGGAAAAGAATCTTACTTGATAACTTATTTCCTTAAACTTAAAAATACAGTCTATGTGAGGGACACACCAAATTGCACACAACAGAGAGACAGCAAGTGCTCAGAACAATTTATTTGTTAGCATTACAATATAGAGGTTCCTTACAGAGGAAGCAATGTTAGGCAATAAAACCCCTACCTGACATTGATTTGCTAAAAAACAATTCATGTGCGATGAATTTTGGTTTGCCTGTGCAATCTACTTGGACTTTAAGAGGTGTAAGTGCCACATAGAGGAGACCAAAAGGGATTATGTGAGGCATTCCCCATCTGTGGAGTTGGAAAACTGGTAGGATGGAGGTGGGCCTGAGTGCAGTCATGCTAATTAGTTCCAATGGGCAAACTAGATAGCAGCAGCAATGGCAATAGCCCTAAGCCACACCTCACTCTGCAGTGATAAAGAAGAGTCTTGGTGCACAGCAGAGTAGCCAGTAAGCATCTCAGACACTCTCATGGAGCAGCACTTACAAGAAAATACATTTTATCTCTACGCTGCAGCATACAGACTAACGCTATAGATCTGGCTTCAGAAACCTACACTTGCTTGGATGTGTATCCTGCTTACAACAAACATGACACAACTACACCAACCTAAATTACAGTGGCAAGTTTCATTTGTGGCCAGATACAAGGCAATACAGGCCCTCAAAGGACATGGAGGATGGCCGCTGCCTTAGCTGGGTGACATTACTACATGCACAGGGCAAGCCTACGTGTTTTGCCAGCCAAAGTGGAATATGTTTTCAGGCTCCCCCTCCTAGTGTGGCTGAGCCAACCCCCCTGCCTCCGCCCATTACCACAAAAAAAGGCCAGCCAATCAGCAGAGCAGTGGGGGAAAGAATGTGCAACACAGCAGTGTGGAGTGCCCAGGGTGACTACTCTGCTTTCCCACTCCTAAAGCTGGCCCCGTATATGCACAATAGATTGCTGATGTCCATCTGCAAGAATCCCACATGAGTAACTAAAAGGGAATATCTGTGTACTTAAACCAAAAATCAAGCTGTGAGGGTCTCATGGTCCCCAAATCCAACAATGAATCTGTACTTGTTTCCACTGCTCCATAAGTGGCTACAAATGGGGCTGCAGAGCACAAGGGTACAGTGTGCAATGACCCATTGCAGTAACATCCAGAGGCATTGATGAGGATCACCGTTGTGCTAGTTGCTAGTGTGCAGAGAGGGAGACACGGTTCAGTAAAATGGAACGGCTGTTGCAGGCAACTGTATAAATAGCAGAAGAAGTGGTTAGTTCACAGTCTACCCTCTGCTTCCATCAACCATTGCAGAGTAGTTTCTCAGGGGCATTAAGGGAATACATCCTCAGTTCTCCATAAGACATCATACCATGCCAACAGTCTCCAATGGCAGCAGGGTGGATAGGGATCAATTATTTAAGAAATAAACATTTTTTATTTAAATCAGATTTTTTATTCAAATTATAAATAAGTTTTTCTTTCAAAAAGATAAACCTTTTAAAATACATTTGAATTTATGGCAACTTAAGGCTTAAACTTATTATGATACATTTACAGTGATCTTCTTCCTCTGGGAGACCTTCCTTCCCAGTTTCTCTCCCTCAACAGTCTCTGACTGAGTCCTAATTAGCTTACTATTAGGCCCAGCTCCAGTAGGAGAACTGAGGGAAGCTGTGTAAAAACAGAAAACTGGTGAGAACTGTGTCTCAGCTCTGAGGAAGGATAACAGAAAGATTGCTGTATTCCAGCTCTGAGTAGAAAGCTGGGAGTTTCTTGCTTTAAAGGAAGATTCAGAGACTGTTTAGCGGAGAATCTCAATTCCAGGGGCAGGGACTAGAACCCTTGGTGATGAGATTTTGTTTCTTGCTTGGTAGATTATTTGTTGAATAAAGGGGTGTTCTCCCATACGAAGCCTGTCAAGGTTCCTTCCCCACTCTGAACTCTAGGGTACAGATGTGGAGACCTGCATGAAAGACCCCCTAAGCTTATTCTTACCAGCTTAGGTTAAAAACTTCCTCAAGGTACAAACTTTGCCTTGTCCTTGAACCCTATGCTGCCACCACCAAGTGTGTTAAACAAAGAACAAGGAAAGAGCCCACCTGGAGACGTCTTCCCCCCAGAATATCCCCCCAAGCCCTACACCCCCTTTCCTGGAGAAGGCTTGATAAAAATCCTCACCAATTTGCATAGGTGAGCACAGACCCAGACCCTTGGATCTTAAGAACAAGGAAAAAGCAAACAGGATCTTAAAAGAAGAATTTTAATTAAAGAAAAAGTAAAAGAATCACCTCTGTAAACTCAGGATGGTAAATACCCTACAGGGTAATCAGATTCAAAACATAGAGAATCCCTCTAGGCAAAACCTTAAGTTACAAAAAGACACAAAAACAGGAATATACATTCCATTCAGCACACCTTATTTACCAGCCATTTAAACAAAAGGAAATCTAACATTTCTAGCTAGATTACTTACTAATTTAACAGAAGTTCTGAAAAGCATTCCTGACCTAGTCCCAGCAAAAGCATCACACACACACAGACCCCCTTTTTTTTTTGCCCCCTCCCTCCAGCTTTGAAAGTAACTTGTCTCCTCATTGGTCATTTTGGTCAGGTGCCAGCGAGGTTATCCTAGCTTCTTAACCCTTTACAGGTGAAAGGGTTTTTCCTCTGGCCAGGAAGGATTTTACAGTTCTGGATTCAGAAAGGTAGTTACCTTTCCCTTTATTGATAAGATTTCATTTCTTGCTTGGTAGATTATTTGCTGAATAAAGGGGTGTTCTCCCACATGAAGCCTGTCTTGAATTTATTGGTAGCCCCAGAGAGGCGGGATTAAGAGGAAGAATCTATGTCATGACAGCACAAGAGGCCAGTAGAAAAAAGGGGATGCAAGTCCATTACAGCATCCAGTAATCAGCCAATCAATCACGCCAACCATAATCAATTTCAGGGCTGAAAGCAAACTATTCAAGCTGTACATGGTTTTTGCTGATGTTTAAAGGAAGTCAAGCCAATAAATTGGTGAAAGATGGTGGCTAAGCAATTGGAACAAGAATTTATTGAAGTGTTAAACCAACTTTTGATGGCAATCACCTCTCTGCAGATGCAGAGAGAATATTTTCTTCATTTGGACTAGTTCGTTTAAAGTTGAGAGCCCAGTTAGGAGTTGAAAAAGTTTGAAAGCTCATTATCTTCCAGTCTGTGAATAAAAGCAAGGTGGGAGGTGTTTAATATTTGAAGGATATGATGCCCAAAAACAAATCAATGAATTGAACTGCTTTGTTAATACAATTAATACTACTTTTGATTTTTTCTTATTTATCCAACACGATTAGGGCCATTTTATTTAATAAAAGAAATTAAATGCTGCTTTAACTGAATGCCAAGTTTCATCCAAATGCAGATTGACATAAATCATGAGTATTATTACATAATTAGTTTCCTAAAGTCATCATTTTCCAACAAAATGGAATTAAGCAGAATAAATGTAGAAATTAAGCAGAATAAATGTATATTAAGTGATATAATAAATGTTTATGGTTTATCCTTGTGACTAGCAAGAAGTATCAAACTAGTGTAAATTCTATATTTGGTTGTAAATAACCCTAAAAACATGTTGATTTGGTTGTAAATAACCATTAAAACATGTTGATTTGGTTATACAGGCAATAAGAATAAACCTGTCATTAGGAAAATAACTAAAAGTACAAATGAAAAACATGGAATCATAGAAATGTAGGACTGGAAGGGACCTCGAGAAGTCATCTAATCCAGACTCTCAGACTGAGGCAGGACCAAGTACACCTAGACCATCCCTCACAGGTGTTTGTCTAAACTGTTCTTAAAAAACCTCCAAGTACAGGGATTCCACAACTTCCTTGGGAAGCTATGACACAGAGGCCCATTTGTGGTTCACTACTTTTTGTCAGCAACTCCTGTTAGGCCTGACATACTCATAACATCTAACTCACTGTTGTCATAATCTGTATCTAAAAGGTGGCATGTAAGATATCATTGAAAAACTAATAACTCACTGATCATTAACATTCATGCCCAATGTATGCATAGGGTGTGTACACAGAGTTACGAATATGTGCTAGAATTACATTCTTAAAATGTGTTTGACAAGCAATCCATAAGCCCAGTCTGCCCTGGACAAAGGAGTGTGTATTTGTCTGTCTGTCCAGCCTGTTCATCAGGCAGAGACAATGAAGGCCCATTTACATATATGATAAACAAAGCCACCAAGTGGGGGAGAAGACAGCATTGCATCTATACCCCAGCAGGGGAGACAAACTTTATCTGGGCTATAAAGGCAAGGCCGCTGAACCTCAAATGATAAGTAATTGAATCAACTGACTGTATACAATATTACTGTATTATAAAAGTGTATCAGATAAGGTCTTTTCTGAAAGCTAACGACCCACTGGTGATTAATATTGTGAAATGTATGTCTTAACATATATGAGAAAATATGGATACTTAATAATATTATACTTTAAAGCCTGTGACCAATCACAGGGAGAAACAGACCTTTTCTTAGACAGAATGGAAGGCAGCTGTCTTCCTGTCTCCAATGAAATTAAGCAAGGTGTGACCAAAAACAGCGGAAGCTCCATTTACATACAAATCAGCAGGGCAATGGGAAGTCCACAGAAAGGGAAGAACAGCAGGAGGTCATCCTAAATTTGGGACAAAACAGTAAGTTTGGGAAGATATAAGGAGAAAGGAGAAACTATCTCAGCATCCATTACTGGACAGACACAAAGGGTCAGAGCTCTTGGAAGCTGAGAAAGATGGGTCCTTCAGCCAAGGGGGAATGGAAGATTGGTAAGGACCATCAACAAACACTGTAGCTTGTTAAGTTAGGTTTTAGCCATTTAAAAGTGTATTCTTACTAGGGCTGTCAAGCGATTAAAAAAATTAATTGCGATTAATTGCACTGTTAAAGAATAATAGAATACCATTTATTTAAATATTTTTGGATGTTTTCTGCATTTTCAAATATATTGATTTCAATTACCACACAGAATACAAAGTGTACAGTGCTCACTTTATATTATTATTTTTATTACAAATATTTGCACAGTAAAAAAAAAGAAATAGTATTTTTCAATTCACCTAATACAAATAATGTAGTGCAATCTCTTTATCATGAAAGTTGAACTTACAAATGTAGCATTATGTACAAAAATATAACTGCACTCAAAAATTAAACAATGTAAAATTTTAGAGCCTGCATGTCCACTGAGTCCTATTGCTTGTTCAGCTAATCGCTCAGACAAACAAGTTTGTTTACATTTGCAGGAGATAATGCTGCCCATTTCTTGTTTACAATGTTACCTGAAAGTGACAACAGGTGTTTGCATGACACAGTTGTAGCCGTCATTGCAAGGTATTTACGTGCCAGATGCTCTAAAGATTCATACGTCCCTTCATGCTTCAACCACCCTTCCAGGGGACATATGTCCATGTTGATGATGGGTTCTGCTCAATAACGATCCAAAGCAGTGCAGAGTGATGTATATTCATTTTCATCATCTGAGTCAGATGCCACCAGCAGAAGATTGATTTTTTTTTTTTGGTGGTTCAGGTTCTGTAGTTCCCACATTGGAGTTTTGCTCTTTTAAGACTTCTGAAAGCATGCTCCACACCTCATCCCTCTCAGATTTTGGAGGGCACTTCAGATTCTTAAATCTTGGGTTAAGTGCTGTAGCTATCTTTAGAAATCTAACATTAGAACCTTCTTTGCGTTTTGTCAAATCTGAAGTGAAAATGTTCTTAAAACAAACAACATGTGCGGGGTCATCATCTGAGGCTGCTATAACATGAAATATATGGCAGAATGTGGGTAAAACAGAGCAGGAGTCATATAATTCTCCCCCAACGAGTTCAGTCACAAATTTAATTAACGCATTATTTTTTTCACGAGCATCATCAGCATGGAAGCATGTCTTCTGTAATGGTGGTTGAAGCATGAAGGGGCAAACGAATGTTTAGCATATCTGGCACATAAATACCTTGCAATGCTGGCTACAAAAATGCCATGCGAACGCCTGTTTTATTTTAAGGTGACATTGTAAATAAGAAGTGGGCAGCATTATCTCCCTTAAATGTAAACAAACTTGTTTTGTCTTAGCGATTGGCTGAATAAGAAGTAGGACTGAGTGGACTTGTAACCGCTAAAGTTTGACATTGTTTTGTTTTTGAGTGCAATTATGTAACCAAAAAAATCTACATTTGTAAGTTGCACTTTCATGATAAAGAGATTGCACTACAGTACTTGTATGAGGTGAATTGAAAAGTATGATTTATTTTATCATTTTTACAGTACAAATATTTGTAATAAAAATAATAATATGAAGTGAGCACCATACAACTTTGTATTCTGTGTTGTAATTTAAATCAATATACACCGGATCCTCGCTAGAACATGGGGTTCGGGATCCACGTTAATGCGGGGACCGCGTTATAGAGGGGGCCGCGTTGCCATGGATCCCAATTTAAATATTTAAATTTGGGCTCCATTGCCACAACCGCGCTATATGCGAATCTGCGCTCTAGCGATGTGCGCTCTAGCAAGGGTCCGCTGTATTTAAAAATGTAGAAAAAATCCAAAAAATTTAACAAATTTCAATTAGTATTCTATTGTTTAACAGTGTGATTAAAACAGCGATTAATCACAATTAATTTTTTTGAGTTAATCGCGTGAGTTAACCATGATTAATTGACAGCCCTACTTCTAATACAGAACTCTCCTTATGAGTTACTATGGCTATGCCTACACTACAGCTTATGTCAGCATAACTTATGTCGCTCAAGGATGTAACTAAATTGTCTGCTTAGAGCAGCTACATTAGAGAGCTTACAGCAGCGCAGCTACATCAGTGCATCTGCGCCACTGTAAACTCTCTATATAGTGGCCGTGTCCTAAGATTAAATTGCCTCAGCATAGGACTGATCATATAAAGAACTGACATAGGCACTCATTGCTTTAGTATTACTGAATGAATACATATCAACCACTAGGTGTCACTCAAATTTAAGGCAAAGACATGCAAAGACTATGATCATTCCATGAAGTATCATTCTCATAACAGTTGATTTTCACAGCATACACAGGAGGCTATGCAGAAAGCTTTTAGCCAAAACACCTTTTGATAATCCCTTTTTTAAAACAGGCTCTGTAACGTGTCTTAAACAAATGAAAGCATCCCACCTGCCCCCCCCCCCCAGCTGCATTCACAAAAACATTAGCTGCAAAATATCTAGCACCTCACTTGCTAAATATGAAACCCAGAAAAATGTCTACTTTGGAAGCAGCACCTTACACAAAGACAATACGGAATACTACTATAGAATCAGAAAGTTAATGCCCCGTTGTCTGAACAACAGGTAATTCATGTATCAGAGCCTACACCAATTATTCTGAAGGGTCCACATGAAAGGTATGGATGTATAGTTGCAAATAGGTCATATTTGACATTTATTATGGGTGGGTCAAAATGGCTTACAAAAACATCTGCCAGATTTCACAAAATTATACCTGAGCAGGCTATTCATAAGTTAATGCCACACCAATGCATATATGTCTGTCTTTAGCTAGCAATGGCCCAAAGATGTTTATTGTTCAGCAGCATCATGAACTTGTCACATGTATCACTTGATTCCCTGCCAACACTTATCTCACATGCATGAATGTGCTGAAGTGGCTTGAGAAGCCCATGATGGTCATTCATCCAGTTTGATTATTAGCTGGATGACATACTGTCACAGCTGTGCACATAAGAAACCAAGGTTTATTCAATCCTGCCTGCATAGTCTGAGTAAGTGTGACAGCGTGGACTAGGCCCCGAGGCCCCCTGCTGGAGGCCTCAGGCTCCTGTCACACCTGTGTCCCCGGAAAGACGCTTAATCTTCCAAGCGGTCTAGCCGATGGAGACTCCTGTGACTGTGGGGCCTATTTCTGATCCTCTGTCCGTTCACGCATCCAAGCAGAGTTCCTCTGGGCGGTGTCCACTGACTCCCTTGACACCTTTGAGGAGCAGTGGGTGCTGTCTGGGGTTCTCTGCTCGGTGTCCCCATCAGGCTCCCTTTGTTTGACCTGTTGCCCGCGCTCCTGTTCCTGTTATTTTATTAGTTGTCCTCCGAAATCACTTGGCTTCCAGGTCCTGTGGATCCCCCCCTTAGGCTGGAACAAGCAGCCTAGAGAGAGACTGTGCAGGAAAGCAGCCAGTCAGGAGGGAGGCTGCAAGGTGCTAGCCAATCAGAGGGTTCCAGGCTAGTATAAAAGAGCTGCAGTGCAGACAAAAGTTAGTTCTTTGCTGGAGCTATAAGAGTGCAGATAGTGCTCCTTGCAAGCTAAAGGGCATTGCAGCTCAGTGCGGGCAGGGACTGGGGGAGCAAGAAAGAACTCCTGCTGGCTGCTTGGCCTGAACATAGAATGGCCCTGAGGTAAGGGTGAAGAACTGGGTGAGGGCTGGGGCTGTGGGGAAGTAGCCCAGGGAACTGAAAGCAGTTTAGTTAAAGGGACATGGTGGTGTGTGGCTGATATTCTTAGGGTCCCTGAACTGTGATCCAGAGTAGTGGATAGGCCTGTCTCCTCCCCACAATAGACCACTAGGGAAGTAACTGACAATTGGATAGTGATAAACCCCCAAAAGGGGATCTGAACTGTTAAGAGCCCCAGCTGGTAGACTAATACCCTGGAATGAGTCTGTTTGAATTGTGCTCTGAACAGAGCATGAGTGACTCGGCTGGAGGGGTGAATCACTAGAAACCACCAGAGGATCTGCCAGAAGGGATCACCATAAACTGTGAGCAGTGCAGACACACCTAACCAGAAGGAGGCCCTAATGAGAAGTGGGTGCCACACAGTTACAATAAGCATAAGAAAGTAAGGTATATGTTGGCTTATGAGAAAAGCATTGCAGCAGATGCTTAGAGACCAGAATACTTGTGCCTGGGAATGTAAGCTTTTTTAAAATCAGATCTCTCCCATGAGAGCATGAAGCTTTGGGGTCAATGAAATCAACTTCATTCAAGCCTTTTCAGTTTTTATACTGATGATAAATAGCTAAAGGCTGCTCCATCAATAGGTAAACAAAGCAGCTGCCACAGATTGGAGGGGTGGAGCAGCATATCTTCAAAATGGTGCTCCCTGTGCAGTTGGACCTCGCAGGCACATGATGGTGGGAGGGGTTCACTCCAGTGGGCCTACCCCCACTGTGTTCCTGGCTGTCCAGTATTCCAGGAATGCAGACATGTCAAGTGTCACCCACTGGGTGTCAATCTCTCGCATGCATTCCTAAGCTTATCTCACTCATTTTGAATAAAAATATATATATAAAGATTTAAAATATCTTTACTCAGGCACTGCAAGAGACAACAATACATCCAGGGCTTGGGGCACAGGGCTCGGAGTTTGGAAAGCTGCTTTCCAAGCTTGTGTACTGTGGTAACCAGATTTCAGGCCCACATTCTACACACACACACACGCGCGTGGTGGCTACATGGGGTTTGTGTGTGTGAATACTTGACTGTCAAACATATGAGTTTGCCCAAAAAAAACAGCAGGACTTGATTGAAAGTTTGCAGGTTCTGCAAAATACAGTTCAAAATTTAAACCATGGTGGAAAAATTCGTGGCCCTTCATTATCCCAGTAGCAGGCAAAACTTCTTT